AAGTCATCGGCAAATTTCGCAGAATTTGGGAATCCCACTTTCGATAATCAATAGAATCATCGTGCAGTTCAGGAAACACGGCAAGGAAACAACCGAGCAGCGTCTGGGTCGTCCTGGTCCATTGGAGAGGACAAAAAGGGCTGTCAAGAGGACCATCGAAATGGATCCCAGATTAACGACTGCAGAAGTGGCCAAAGTTGGTGGGATGAGCCCGAAATCTGTTCAACGGATTCTCCACAGATTGGGTCATCGTTGCAGAGCATCTAGACGGAAGCCCTTATTAAGACCTGCCAACATAGTCAGACGAAAGAAGTGGGCAAGTGATATGATGACCAAGCCTCTGGACTTTTGGAAGACCGTATTGTTCTCAGACGAATCAAGATTCGCTCAATTATCGGACAGTGGAAGGATATGGGTCTGGAGAATGCCTCACCAAGAGTTCTGGCTGCTGAAACCACCATGCTTCACAGTTGGCTGCAATATGTTGAGCCCAAACTCTTGGTAAGGCATTCTCCAGACCCATATCCTTCCACTGTCCGAAAATTGAGCGAATCCTGATTCGTCTGAGAACAATATGTGATGGTTTGGGGAGCTGTTTGGGTTGGTGGGAGATCGAGCTTAGTGGAGTGCGTTGGCAACATAAATTTTGCGAAATACGTCGAAATATTGGAGGAAGGACTCTTACACTTTATTGATTGGCTCAGCCAGGGCAACTTCTGGATACCATTTTATTCCTGCCACTTTTGGGTGTTTCTAGCAGTGTGACACGGTGCTCCATCTTCCTGGAACAACGTTATGTTCTTGTCCACGAAACCCGAAGCCGTTGTTCCAGGAAGATGGAGCACTGTGTCACACTGCTAGAAAAACCCAAAAGTGTCAGGAAGAAAATGGTATCCAGAAGTTGTCCTGGTCGAGCCTATCTCCTGACATGAACCCCATCAAAAACCTCTGGGCCATACTCGACCGGCAAGTCAAGAAACAACAAAAAAAACCAACTTCGAAGAGCGATCTACTTCAAGTTTTGAAGCAAGAGTTGGCGAAAATCCCACGATCTAAAATTGACGAGATGATTCTCACGATACCCCAAAGGATCAACGAACTCCACGAAGCGAAAGGAAGATCTACTAAATATTAATTAAATTAGAAATATATCAATTCATGTGAATATGACTGAAAATTTTAATTTTTTCCTGAAAAGATGGTGTCTATTTACTTGTGATCACGCTGTGTGTGCCTAGTATCTCATTGCTTTCCAATTCCAAAGGACAAAATTGATACTCATCAGAGCATAGGGATACTGGAACTTGGCTTCCAAATGTCTCCCACGTCATATGGGACTCTCCAGTCTGGGAGAAACCCATGCTGAAACAATGCAAGCCTATGGTGGAAACAAGATAGACATTTCCCTTGTGTATAAGAGAGAGAAGTCAATGAAGAGTTGGGTCATGCCATAGAATATTCCAGATAGGTTACTGTTGGAATTAAGAGACTTATGGACAGACAGTGCTATGTGTGATGCTGAATCTGCATGGCCCCGAGCTTGATTTAATCAAGTGCTTATTGAGGAGAGGTAGTATCACAGTTGATCACTTGGCTGAAATAACAAGCTAGCGAAGATGATTACTTGTTTGAGAAACCAATGGTGGAAAGTTTGTCGACCCCTGTTCTCTGAATTAATGAGCAATAAAATGCAAAAATGGGATTTTGAAATGACCACTCAATAAACTGTATTAAAACAGCTAGTATGATTAGATGTAATATTTAGTGCATCAACAATTTACACAACTGAGGATGGTAGCTATGATTTTGAAAATTTAGCTTAAAAGGCATTGCAACACAAATTTTCTGAGCTATCAGGTGGTATTTCATGATATAATGTATGCATTAAATTGAGTGATTACTAAATAATTAACACAAAGCTAGTATGGTCATTTGTCGAGAAACCAGTAACTGAAAGGGTGTTGCAAACACTTGATTTCTGAGCAGTCGAGTTATTTTCCTTCTAAGGGAAGCAGAGTTTTTTTCAAACCTGTTGTGACAACCCCTAGAGGAACTGTTACACGCACACTTAATTATGTATGACTACTCCATGTGCAGTGATGGAGTTCCTCTCTACCCTGAAACAGTAAGTTAATCGAGCAACTCTTTAGTGAAATATATTTTATTTTTCTGGAGTTGTCTATGTTTATTTTCCTGTGAAGTCACACAATACTAATGGAAGGAAATACAATTGCTCAATAATTTACTGTTGGTGGCCATTTGGAACAATATATTGATATACAAAGAAGAGACAAATGAATAATATTTATGCCATATGGAATTTTCAACTGATTAGCCTTGTTGAGCTAAATTCTGCCAATGAGTATTACTCTAGCAAGGACTCTAAAACATTGTCAGTCACACCAGTCGAAAAGGGATGGCATGTTACTGTGTCATACTACCGATATATAGTTTACGAGAGTTTCCCAAATTAATTACTGAAATAATGGTATACAAGTCCTGGGTAA